AGAAAGAGTGTGAAACACATAGGAAGCGAGGAATAACTTTCAACGTCTGCTGTAGCCCCCCGGATTAGCCTAAAAGCAGGCGGACAGGCACGGTTCTGCACAGTAGGAAGGTTTGCACTGTGACTCCGCAGCTGTGCTAGAGCAGGAGGGATACCCAGGTCACCACAAGCAACACCGATCGAACATATCCAGAAAACCACTGCTTTTAAGGAGAGAGGAAATATCAGCCTTCCCTCCCATTAAGTCTTATGTTTTATCATTGGGTGTGAATAATAAAGCTAGCTTTAAATAGCAACAGTAAGAAAACTCTTTGAGGGGTAATTAATTTTCGACCAACCGGAAGGGGAAACAGCATCCAATCGGCGCCCGTTTCTCAGTGGCCAATCAGATTTCCCCTTACATTGCGGCGCTGGGAAAAACGGAGCTGGACCCTCGTGACTCCCTGCGTGTGGCTATTACAGTTTCCTGCAGGACAGTGAGCCACTGAGACTGCATTTGTTAATTGAAGATTAAGAGACTAGCAGTTCGGTCTTTCACTGTGCTGGCTGGATTTGCTTGTGTTTGTTCTTAGCCACTGCTCATGTAATGCACTCCCTTAACCAGGAAATTAAGGCATTCTCCCGGAATAATCTCAGGAAGCAATGCACCAGGGTGACAACGCTAACTGGAAAGAAAATTATAGAAACATGGAAAGATGCCAGAATTCATGTTGTGGAAGAAGTAGAGCCGAGCAGTGGGGAAGGTTGTGGTTATGTGCAGGACCTTAGCCTGGACCTGCAAGTTGGTGTTATTAAACCATGGTTGCTCCTGGGTGAGTATATTGATTTGCCACTAAGTTATTGAGTTCATTTAACTATATTAGTTAACGTTTTCCTCCCTAATAATAGTCTGTACTATCAGCTAAACTGCTGGAAAATTGAGATGTTTCCTTTTTTGGATATGGAACTTACACTAGCTAGCTACACTAGCTAGTCAGAGATGTTTCTGCTCCACTATATACATAACAGGCATAGATTCTAGTAACACATAGCACCTGGTATTTGAATTTTCTAAAAGCTTTCTTCTTGTTTTTCTAACTTCTCAGGAGTATAACACATTGATGTTGTCTTTTCTTGGATAATAAAAGGATATAGCCTTAAAGATTATCAAAGTAAAAAGAATGCTTTTATTAGGCAAAACTACAAGTGACAGGGGTTGAAGTTATAGAAAAGTTAATACTTCAAAAGGCAAATGCTTTTTTGCCTGCTCTGGGGTTGCAAACCATATGGAGTGCATGCCTCCTGTGGCCACATCTGTTCATGGTGTCTGTTTTTGTAGTGTTAAGGAAAAGGTGGACTGATATTTTATAGCTATGAATCTGATGGTTTATGATTTCTTGTATTAATGGAAAATACAGATTCCCTATACAAAGCATAATCCACAAATAACAAATGAAGCACAGTTATAAAAGTACAAACTTGTTAGCTTGGCAAGAATATGATACGGTATTCTTAAAAAATAGTCAAGTGTTTTAAGTAGGTTTGAATTATTTTTCATTAGTGAATAGAGAAATTAAGACTTGGAAAAATCAGTGATTTGTTAGTATTTATACAGCCAAGCCTCTCCTGAGTAAAAAGAGCACTGAATTGGGTGTCAGAAATGGCCAGGTATTATGTGGAGCGCACATAGCATCTCACTCCTTTTAAAAACTCTGTGAAGCAGGGATCATCAGCTCCATTTTACAGATGGAAACTGGACTTAAGATTGGTTAAGTAACTTGCACAAGCTCAAGTGTGATACACTCCTGCTCTTCATTGTTACATAGACTGACTCAGGGAGTCCAGGCTTTTAGCCATGCTCTAGTATAACTAGATGAGCTAGTGAAAGTCATTTATTCTCTTTGGTCCTCCAAAAAAACCATCTGTAAAGCTGAAGTAACAGTATATGCTTATCTTATAGGGTTGTCCTGAAGTTGGAAAAGGTTTTTGAAACATATCAATTGCAGTATACATATGAGTTGTTATTGTATTATGTATTATATGAATTGTTACATGACCTGTCTTTTCACCAAATAAATATATCCAGTTAGTTTCTGCAGCCCTGTGGAAAAATGAAGTGGGTCATTTAGCTAGTCTGGAAGGTGCACCCAGGATTTGCACAACATTTCTAGGAGAGGAAATATGTCAAGGCACATGTTTTGGTTATTTGGCTTCCATTGTAGTAATAATGGTTTAAAATAATTATGGTAGAATTAAAAAATATCATTCACCCTTTCAGAGTTTTCATGAACTTCGCTTATTTTTTTATCTAGACTTATGCAAAGTGAGCTGATCAAGGTAGTGTTCTCAGATTGGCATTGGAACCCTTCCAGGATCTTGAGCGAGTGCTGGGAGGGACTTCTGAGACTAGTCCTTATATGGTCGCCTCTTTGGACCAGGAAATGGGATAATTTCATCAGGTACAACCTCCTTTCTTCTGAGAGGTAGATAGACCTTCTTCTGCCCAGTTACAAGCGACTTATTCTGAGGGACCTATGGATGGTTACATCTAAAGTTCTTCCACGTGAATGATGCAGGGGTTGTTTCTAGGTTGCTTCAAAGAACTTCCTTCATCTATTCAAAGCAACACAGCTCCCACCTAGCACTACATGAAATTAAATTTTGTTTTGGGTGGGAAATAAAGAAAATAGAAAGCTGTCAAAATATAATGTCTTTTTTAGTTAGCTCATAAATTCACCCAAGCTTCTGCATTTCAAAAATCTTACATAGGCCCTTGAACTACCTAACAAGTTGATAAAAGATCTTAGTCAGTGAATATTTTTGTCCTAGGTTTTGCAAATTATATTTTTACAACAAAAATCACTAGGACTTTTCTTATATCCAACTTGATTTGTAAAAGTGAAAAATTCCTTTTCTCTTGGGTAGTTAAAAAGGTACAATTATTTCTTGTTATGTCCATCCTGTTAAGAAGTCCCAACTGGTAACATTTTGAGATCTTTGCTTCAATTCTAGGTGAAAATCTTGGGATCCTTTATAAGGTTGTAGAGGATTTCTGATATCCTGGAAGCCCAGTATTTTTAGGAGGCAAATGATACATTAAATTTGTATAGCTATTAATTTTGTAAAATTCTTTCACAAATATTATTTTACCTTATCCTTATAGGAATTTATGCTCCTATTTCTATCCATTTATGAATGTTCACTCCTACAAATTTTCTCAAAACATTTCTTTTTGGAATATTATTTATTTCCCTTTTCAATAATGTAATAATATCTTTTTGGTTTATTTCAGTAATAATTTTTTGTTTAATTTTTTGATGATGAAAATAGAGATTTGTAAATCAAGATATGCTGCACCAGAATTTATGCAGTATTTAGTATTTTCATAAAAAAAGATCTCTTAAAAATAGAAACAGGATTCTGGAGATCTTACGTAGCCTATTTTTTATGATACATATATTATGATTGAACTTGTTAGAAGTCCCAACTCCAGTAGCATGTAATATACTTTCTAAATCAGTTACTTCATCTCTAATATTTCCTTAATAATTCTTGGCCAAGGTCTTGAATATTAGTGGTTTGTGTCAATGTAAAATGTAACTGTAAATTATTATTATTATTATTAGACTTCTTTCTTTAGTTGTAGTCCTATTCATCAACTTCTTTTTCTATTATTTAAAAAATTGCCATACTGTTAAAATTGATTTGCTATTCAGTTCTATTAAGTTTAACACAATTATAGATTCATGTTGCCACTGTTAAAATCATAAAATTATTAAAATTGATATTTGTTTTAAAATCTCGATTAAGATAGTTTATAAAAGGATAACATTCTACTTTTTCAAAACAAAGGTTTAAATAACACATTGTTATAATGATTTATAGTGTTTATTTCTTTTATGATAAGTGTTTTTCCAACAAAATTTTAACGCAAGACTGCAACACAAAGCAATCATTTAAAATTGGAGAAAAGCTGATGTTTATATCTAGAATTTAGACAGAATTAAGGTGAACTGAATACTACCAAGTATTAGATGAAACATAGAAGCCAATTACCTGAAGTCCATTTGTGCTGACTAAAATTATTCCCCCACACTATTAAAACTCATGTAATTTTCCTATTGTTTGAAAACGCAGTGATACAAGTTGATTTTTGGTCACAAGAACACTAAATTTGTACCAATATATTCATATTCTAGAAGTCATTTTCAAAATATAGCAGCCAACTCTGGAATATAACTGACCTGTTCTGTTTGGGGTGTGTGTGTATTTAATGGAAATAATGAAAGTATACAGGTTTGATAAATATAATAATGACAGTTTTGGGTAAAAAAAGAAAGAATTTCATTCATGCATGTTTTTTTTTTTTTTTTTTTTTTTTTTGCTATTTTAAGAAATAGGCAGTGTAGAATTATTATTTAAAAGATAACATGCATATTAAACCACCAAATTTCAGTTAACTTATTTGAACCCATTTCTCCTCCTGGAGATGAATAGGACTTCCTACAGAAAACTGAGAAATTATTTTTAAATTATGAAGTATTTCAAATGTGTAAAAAATTACAGACTACACTATAACAGACAATTACATATCCACCATCCAGCTTTAACAAATGTTAATATTTTGATAGGCTAACTTTTAAGTAAATTTGAATGTAGACTCAGTAAGGAGCCTGTGAGCTTCGTATTACCAAGAGAATATTGGCCAACCAGCATACGTGCTGGCCTTCCACCTACCTAAAGTCACATAATAGAAGCTGGCAGATTTCCCACGTGGAAGAGGTGAGAAAAATGTTGTTTATAGAAATGGAACCTAATTCAGGAAAGTAAAATATGTGAAATCTTAATATAATAAATGTCCTATTTTTTCAGTTGTGTCACTCACTTTATTTTAACTAGTTGTTCTCATGTATAATAACCTTGCTTATTACCTAGAGTCATTTTCCAAGTGTGAGAGATCTAGAAAGCCAACTTTGACAGGAAGAAACTGGAAAAGGATACAGCCCTAGTGGTACACAGAACGTGGGTGGAATTCACTAGACCAGCAGTGTTTGCTCTAAGGTACTGGGTGTTCCCAGACCAGCTGGCACTAAATCATTTTGTGGGTGTCTTTTTTAAAATATCCTTTTTTAAGTTACAAAAGAAATAGATATTTATTGTAAAAAGTACACATGAGCATAAAGAAAAAAATCACCTATAATCCTACTGTTAACATTTTATTCTGTATACTTTCTATCCATTTTTAAGCATATACATAGTTTTTGTTTTTACAAAAATGGTTGATGTTTTGTAACCTGCTTTTATCACATAATATATTGAGAATATATTTCCATGCCACAAATATTCTTCTACATTTCTCATTTCAAAGGGCTGTATATATTTTCACTACATAATTGTACTATCTTTAATATAGCCCAACCCCCATCATTGGGTTTGGTTGTTTTTTTTGTTTGTTTTGTTTTTATAGAGTTTATTTTGTATTACGGACAACACTGTAAAGAACATCCTGATAGCTAATCTTTGCAATATCCAGGACTTTTAGGAAGAATTCCTACAAGTCAGATTTCAGAGTCTAAGAGTATATATAAGATGAATATTTTTTGATGAATATTCCTGAATTATCTTTCAGAAAGTTGGATTGAGGTCCTCCCAAGTTGCATTTCTTAAAATAAATGAATAGCTAACAGAGTTGTTGCAAAAATTAGATTAAAAGTCAGGATGCTTATTTTTATATTCAAGGTGATGTTATTTATTTCTTATAGGGTCACAAGATGCTGCTCATGATCTGGATACACTGAAAAAGCACAAGGTAAAAAGAAATGCTTCAGGTCTGGCACTGCGTATAGGACGTATTTTAATTGTTATATTTATTTAGGAAAAACTGCATAGGTCCATTTCAGAGTTGGATTGGTGAGATTTGGCTATCATTTTAATAAAGTCACAAAAATTATTGCACTTAATTCAAATATGTGAATTTGTAATCCATCTTTCCAGTTTTATTTTCTCTCAGTCTCCCTTTACATTTCCTCATGAACCTGACTTTGGAGGCACTTCTTCCTGCCTCTGCTTATGTAGTTCCTCTGTGTGGAATAGACCTTCCCCTCTTCTCTTCTTGTCCAAGATCTACCCGTGCCTTGAGTCCCAACTCACATACCACTTCTTCCCCAATGCTATCTCTTCCCACCTTCCCCCACACAACGGATGTGATTTATTACTTATTTCAATATTTACTGGAAAAAAAAAAGTATCCATCTACTATTTTGTTAAGCACGATTTCAGGGTCATGGAATTGCTGTGGTTTGAGGAATGCAAAAGGTTCTTGTTCACATGAAGTTTATGATTTGAGGGGCAGAGAGGGAAGAAAGACAAATAAGCAGCTACAGTACAGTGTATTGTATGTGTTGATGGGGCTGTGCAGGTGCTATTGGAGAGCATAGGAGATGATGCCCTTAACCAATGTTTGTTTGGGTTGGGTTGGGGTTAGTAAGGTCAAGGAAGTCTTCCTGGAGGAAATAATATTGAAGTTTTGCTCTGAAGGGGATGAGGAGGGAGCAGACAGAAAAGTGTTCAGAGAGAAGAAATGGCTCTGTGAAGGCCCAGAGACAAGAGAAAAGCTGATGCTTTCAGGAACAGAAAAGAAGCTTAGTAACCCTAGAATAGAGAGTGTGAGAAAGAAGGGTACCAAGAGACAAGGCCAGGGAAGTAAGCGTGAGTCAGATCACAAAAGTCCATGTAAGCCAGAGTAAACTGTTTGGAATTGATACAAAAGACAGTGGAAAACCTTTGAAAGGCTTTATGGAGGGAAGTAACAGGATCAAGTTTGCATTTTAGAAAGATGGCTGGTTAGAGGCAGTGTGGAAAATAGGTTGGAGGATTGCTCAAGCTAGAGATGGGAAGACTAGTTTTGAGGCTGTTGCAGCAATCTGAAAAAAGATGGTGGTAGCTTAGGTTAGGATTCAGTGGGGGTAGAGAGAAGTGGATGGACTTGAGGGTTTTTTAAGAGGGTAGAATTCTCAAATGTTAATGATTGACTACTTGCAGGACAGAGTAGAAGGGGGTGAAGTCGAGAAAGAAGGAGGAGTCAGAGGTGATATTCAGCTTTCTTGGGTTACTAAGTATACCGGGTTGGTGTCGTCCCATGAGATAGGGAACAAAGTAGGGAGGAGCAGGTTTTGCAGGAAAAATAACGAGCTCAATTTTGAATAATTTAAATTTCAGATGCCGTGTATAATCTCAGTAATGTTATTCAATAGACAGTGTGGGTATATGGGGTCTGAAGTTCAGGAGAGGTAAAAATAGAGATTCAGGAATCTTCAGCTTATAAGCAGTGATTTAAATTGTTGGAGTAGATGAAATCACCTGGGGCAAGGTGGGCAGAGAAGAAGGCCTACACCAGAACCCTGAGTAATACCAACCTATAGGGAATAGTCAAAGGAAGACGAATCTGCAGTGGGAAAGAATCTGTAAGAGTTTGTAGGAAAGTAAAAAAATTGTGGTGTCATGGAAGCCAAAGCAGAGAGTTCTGTGGAGGATAGAGTCAGCGGTGTCAGATGCTGCCCAAAGTTTAAGTATTGTTGGGGCTGAATTACACCAGTTGGACTTTAGAACAAAGAAGTTGTTAGTGACTTTAGTGGGAACAGTTTTCATTTGAATTGGAGGCCCAAGTCAGATTTCAAAAGATTGAGAGGTGGAGGAAATGATCACACCAAAAAAGAAGAGAAGAGAGCAGGATGACCCGTAGGTGATGAGATCAAAAGAGGGAGATGGGAGAGTTTTGAGCGTGTATGAAGCTGATGGTAGAGAAAGGAATTGAAAATACAGGAAAGCAAGAATTGTGGCTAGAGGGCCAAGAAAGTAGGAGGCAGTGTGACCCCAAACACAGGTGCTAGAATGAGCCTCATAAAGGATGTGGGAGCACATCATGCTCTGTATTAAGAAGGTAGAAGGAAAGGGTGAATGCAGGTGTTAAATTTGATGGTAAGATTTGATGGAAAGGGTTCCTATGTGATGACTTGTCTTTTTACTGTAAAATGGTAACTGAGGTGATCTACTGGGAGTCGGGAAGAGATGGTAGGGTTGAAAGTTATTAGGAGAGGAGGGAAAGTTTGAAAGAGCTGATATGGGGAATGAGGGAGAGAGCCTACTAGGGAAATATAGTTGCTAAGCATCACTAAGGTTCAAGAGAGGTTGGCTCTCATGAGGTAATGGTGGCATGAACTGCAATATTGTGTGAATTTTTTCCAGCAGTGCTTAGCAGTCTGGGTGTAGAGGGGACTTTTACCAGTCAGGTGCAGGGCAGGTAGACCATGGACTATAAGCTGAATAACAAAGGAAGTGAAGGAAAGAGGGGGCTGGTAGATAAAATAGAAAGATCAAGGAGTTGATGGTTTTTGTGAGGTGTAGAGAGAATAACTGAGTGGAAGATGGAAAGATAAGAGTGGGATACCTGAGTTAATGGTATCAGAGCTGGATCAGTCCTGGACATTGGTCTTGCAGAGGTGGTGAAGGAGAGTGGTGATGAAGGTCATTGGTGATGAGGTCGTCAGGGACCTGTTAAACCCAAGTGGAAATTGATGTCACCCTGGATAATGGTAGGACATGGGGTAGGACTCAGAAAACTGAGGGTCAGGTGCCCAAGGAATGCAGGGTATAAGATGGAATAATCAGCTTGTATGAATCTCAAAGAGCAAGGATTTTTACTGGAGGGTGGAAAAGAAGTGATTTGAAAGAGGCAGGGAGTAGGCAAAAGAATGCAACCCTGCCGCTCACCCACGATGTAAGTGGGGTGCTAGGCCCCTTTCTAGTTGCAGGAGACATAGAAATGAACAAGCAGTAAGGTCCTTGATTTTAAAATATATTTTCAGATGAGAATAAATTCTCTGAAAGAATTGAAACAAGGCAGTGAGAGGAGTGGCAGGGGGATAGGCCTCTGAAGGTATTATATTTCAGCTGAGACCTTAGGACAGAGTCAGCTGTGCTTAAATCAGGGCAAGAGCCCTTAAGGCTGAGAGAACAGCAAACATGGAGGCTCTTGGAAGGAACAAGTTCAGTATGTGTTCCTCCCTTCTGGTCTCATAACACTTTGTTCTTCTCCTGTAGCTCTTAGCACCTCTACTTTTTATTATTACTGTCGGTGAACATGTTTTCCCCTCTATTATTCAGCAGACTTCTAGAGGATTAGAGACCCTGTCCTACTCATCTTTGATCCCACAGCTCTGAGAAAAAAGTTTGATTAAATTGAGGCTGAAAATTTTATGGGATAAACACTTGCAATTAATTTCTTCAAGGAAATAAATACTAACCAATTCATTAACTAATTTGATATGTTTACTAGTCAATGTACTTACTTGTGTTTAAACTGGACTCCCCTTGTTTTATTATAATAATAACTGCCTGGCAATAAGAGACAGTGGCCTGAAATTGCATAAGGATATGAGAATGACTGTATATCCTGATAGGAACCCTCTTAGATCAATATTTCAACATAAGTAGAACATGTTTTAAGAGTCTTGCTTACATGAATAAATTAATATTTCTCAGGGTAAAAATGAAAATTAGAAAAACTGATAAATCTTTTCATTGGCAAGTGTTTTATTATCTAGCCCCTGTTATGATACACTAGTTCAAATTCACTTTCATCCTGGTGATGTGAACCCAGCTGCTGTTTAAAAGATCATTCTGTCTCTGTATAAAAGATCCTGTTAGATGCCTGGAAGAAGCAAAAGTAAGCTGAGCAGCTGAATAGAGGGTTTCTACAAAATCTTAAGGATGCTGTAAAACAAAATTATTGATTTAAATGCATGACACATTTCAAAGGGATTTCTTGGGGTTTAAGTAGAGTGCAATAACTAATAGAAATTCTCTTGTGGCAGATCATTTCAGAAATTTCTATAGGAATTTCATTATAATGTTTAGATATGGTAATAAGAGTTGTTTTATTAGTAAGGTACTCATTGAGTGCCTGGTGTATGCCCAGTAAAGCATGAAGGAGGATAGAAAACTAAGTGTAACATAAAATATTCCAAGTTGTTTACTGCAGCACTGTTTATAATAGCAAATTTATTGAAAACAACCCCTATTTCCATAAGTAGGGAATTGGTTAAATGACCAATAGTCCACGCACATGATGGAATACTATATAGCTTTTTTTTTTACATCTTTATTGAAGTATAATTGCTTTACAATGGTGTGTTAGTTTCTGCTTTATAACAAAGTGAATCAGTTACACATATACGTATGTTCCCATATCTCTTCCCTCTTGCATCTCCCTGTATAGCTTTTTAAAAGAACACACAAAAAAGGGTCTCTAGATACTGATATGAAAAGATCTCCAGGACATTTAAAAAAATTAATTAATTTACTTATGGCTGTGTTGGGCCTTCATTGTTGCATGCGGGCTTTTCTCTAGTTGTGGCGAGTGGGGGCTACTCTTTGTTGTGGTGCGCGGGCGTCTCATCGCGGTGGCTTCTCTCGTTGCGGATCACGGGCTCTAGGCATGCAGGCTTCAGTAGTTGTGATGTGTGGGCTCAGTAGTTGTGGCTCTCAGGCTCTAGAGCGCAGGCTCAGTAGTTGTGGTGCACGGCCTTATTGCTCTGAGATATGTGGGATCTTCCCGGACCAAGGCTTGAACCCATATCCCCTGCATTGGCAGGTCCAGGACATTTTTAAATAGGGGGAAAACCCAAAGGTGTTGCCTTTGTGTAAGAAAGGGAGTACATAAAATATTTGCATAAGGATACTCTAAAAGAATATACAAGAAACCAACAAAGATGGTTACCATATGGGTGGGAGATGATGGAGTGGAAAGAGGGTGAGAGCAAGACTTCTTAATGTTTCTTTTTTTTTTATAATGTTGTGATTTTTGAACTAGTTCAAAAGATAATTTTTTGATAATGCCTAAATGTGAGGATTAAGTGAGTCAACCTCTATGCCTAGCACATACTACGTACACAATAAAGGGGCTATTCTTATTATCCCTGTTACAAAGGGCATCACAAGGTCAACCATTGCTAGGACCGCTGTAACTGCATTTTGGAAATATGCTTGATTACTTGGAGGGTTTTAGGCTAGGTCCTCATCACCACCACCACCATGACCTGAGACTCAGTACAGTTCTCTTCAAGCATGATCATTCAATCAATATATATGTAAGTTGCATTTCCAAGCAGCTAAACTACCTAGACATTGGGTAGTTTAATGATCCACAATATTTGTAAAGCACTTTTACCTTTCAACAACTTTTCCCAAGATTCTCATTGGGTCGTCTCTGTAATCCTGTGATGTATAGGGAAGCTATATAGATACAGATATATTCTGTAAGTGGTCAGACCTCATTTTTGGTCTTTTGGGAATGCAGAATATAGTTCTAAAGGTAAGGCAAACACATCAATTTTATAAAACATTGGCACATCTATTAATTCAGGGCAGAATCATGTCGTCCTGGCCAGAAGTCCACTTGGAGTGAGAGAGTAGCTTGACACAGTCAGGTGGGACTTCACTGGGGAAAGCAGAAGGACATTTCAGACTGTATCTTCTAAAACTGTTCTTCCTTTCTTTCTAGGTTCTTGCATCTCCTCTCTATTTAAGAGTCTCTCTTGAGAAGATTTGATGTTTTTTTCTGTTGTCTTCTTTCCACAAGGCAGTGAAGTTAGTAAATAGCCTGTGGCCTTCTCTTCATGAGGCCTAGTTCCCTGAGTGTCTTAATCATACTCTTTTGATTGTGGACCACAGAAACCTGAGCAAGGAAAGAGAATGTGTATGATGATTTAGGGGGCTCTCTGGAACCTGAGGGAAGAGAGTGGCCATGCCAGAGAATAGAAGGCCATCCAGGACAGCCTCTCTCTCCCCCGGCACGTGGCCCCTATTTGCACATCTGTGTTGTTCTTCTCATTTGGGAGCAGAGATCTTTCAGCTTCCCTGAGCACTTAATAGAAAACGGCTGTTCTTAAATCTCCCGAGTTTGTGGATCATTCTAGCTGTCTCACACACCTATTTTTAAAATTCCTTGAGATAATCTGCTCAGTCTAGCTTAAGTCAGGTGTCCACCCGAAACCAATTAGCTGTGCTGAGGGAAGGAGTGGGACACAGCCAGAGTCATAGCTGGGAGGGTAGTGGGGGCAAGAGAGGTACGCTGGACAAGTACTCTAAAATATGATGAGATACAAGAAAATACCAAGGTCAGGCAAACCCTAAGATCCAACATAAGAGAGACAATAAATTCAGTGAGAAGCATGTCCTGATAAGAAACAGGGACTCATATTTCTGCTCTGTTTAGCCTTTGGATTCTCTTAATAGACTTTCCACATGGCTCCTTCCATTTGCTTGGTGGACTCCAGGAAAGGAGCCTGAATGTATAGATGGATGAGGAGGTTGCTTATGTGTGCCATTTAAAAGAAAATCTTTCATGACCATCCCACCTTTCAACCAGACTAATTCATCAGAATTTCTGGGTTTGAGACCCTGTGGCATTGATATTTTTAAAACGCTTACTGATGGTTCTAATGTGCAGCCACACTTGAGAACCACTGTACTTACAAAGAATACAAGAGGAAAATAGGGAAATAATTATTGAAAGGGAAGTTGTGTGCTACTGATGCACTTCCCTTACGTAAGTTTTTATATGGACATTAATTGATTTATTCAATAAATATTTTAAGTACTTTCTGTGCTAAGGTCACTGCTCACTCACAATGCTTACTTACAATAGTGAGTAAGCTAAACCTGGTCCCTGCCCTCATGGAGTTTCTAGTACAGTGAGGGAGATAAAGAGACTCTCAGTGGTAAGGGCTATAATGAGGCAAGTAGAGGGTGCTTTGGGGGTATATAGAAATAGCACTTCTGGTAAGCGATGAGGCAGTCAGAAAAGGCTTCCTGAAGGAAGTGTTATTAAGTCATGCTTAAATTGTTTACTCTTGTTACAGCTCTCAACATCTCAGTCTCTGTTTAATTAACCTAATTCATGAGAATTTTTAAAAAATCATCCTTCTTTTTCTCTTTAAGGTGACTCATATTCTCAATGTTGCATATGGAGTTGAAAATGCTTTCCTCAGTGACTTTGTATATAAGAGTATTTCTATTTTGGATCTACCTGAGACCAATATCCTGTCTTATTTTCCAGAATGTTTTGAATTTATTGAACAAGCAAAAATGAAGGTAAGTTTTTTTTTTAATTAATTTATTTATTATTCAGTTTTAGTTGCATTGGGTCTTTGTTGCTGTGCACAGGCTTTCTCTATTTGCAGTGAGTGAGGGCTACCCTTCATTGTGGTGCGCGGGCTTCTCATTGCAGTGGCTTCTCTTGCTGTGGAGCACGGGCTCTAGGTGCACGAGCTTCAGCATTTATGGCACACGGGCTTAGTAGTTGTGGCTCACGGGCTCAGTAGTTGTGGCTCGCGGGCTCCATAGTGCAGGCTCAGTAGTTGTGGTGCATGGGCTTAGTTGCTCTGCCACATGTGGGATCTTCCCAGACCAGGGCTCAAACCCGTGTTCCCTGCATTGGCAGGCGGGTTCTTAACCACTGCGCCACCAGGGAAGTCCGTAAGTTTTGTTTTGATCCACAGTTCTTCAGAAGCAGATATTTAAAAATATGGGTCCATATTCCAATATTTATTCTTTCTGTAATGAATATGTAGAGAACAATTATGAAATTTCCCCTTCATTAATTCCTACAACTATTTAGTTTTCCAGTTGCACTTTTTTCAGTGAAATATTTACTTTTAACTTTAATTTCTCATATTCCTATGCCTTCCTGAGAAATATTCGGATTTAAAATTTTCTGCTTACTGAATTTTCCTGTGTACATAGGTATTGCGTTGGCCCAAAAGTTCTTTCCGGTTTTTTGTAAGATGTTATGGAAAAACCCGAACGAACTTTTTGGCCAACCCAATATGCCGGTTTCCTTTGATAGTTTCTAACCACCTGCCCTCTGACCACTTTGCAAGGTAATCAGGTGGACTGTGGGATAGAGGCTGCTCTAGTCCTGTTAGTGTATTTATGAAGATTAATATTCCTGAGATGGTATAAAAATGCTGATCAGAAGCTGTCCCTTGGTTCTCTGACTTTAGAAGACCAACAAAAAATACAATACTTCAATCTTGGTACTGATCCAAGGCAAGGCTTCTAGGCTGGCTGTTACCAATAATTATACCTTGAAATGACATCATTTTTAGTCAGTATATACTTCTTACAAAATTTATGTTAGATAAATAGATGGGAATGTAGAAGCACTTACAGAGAAAAGTTTACTGTCCTGGAGCACCCGACAATTAATGCCAGTTAATAGAATCCAACTTAATTAAATTCCGATGATC